CCCCTCCCCCAGCATCCCCCACCTGCCCGGGCATCTTCCCCCGCACCCTGGGCACGCGGCCTGAATCCCCTGGTCTCTGTATCTGGGTGGAGACATGGGGTCCAGGGCAGAAGGAACCCTCGAGTCCCCAGTCTAGTCTGGCCTCTGAGCCAGGTGGAGGATTACTCCGAAGGCCTTGTCCTTCCCACAGTCCCCCCTCCCTCCTCATCGTGGTGACTGGACCTCAGGGACCGAGAGATGCAGCTTTGCAAGGGTTAAAGCCTGGAATCTCCCTGGCAACTCAGCGCCCTGGCCCGGCAGGACCCCTGTTCCCACCTCCCCCAACACCTTCCATCTTCCTTCTCCATTCCATCACCGGGAAAGGCCAGAGCTGCTCCCCAGGCCGGCACAGAGCTGCACCCCAGGCCGGCACGGAGCTGGCCAAGTGCCTAAGCGCCTCCCCTTCCCCAAGTATCCTCCATTGCGGAGAAAGTTGTGACCACCGTTAAGCAGGGAAGGAAACTAAAGCACCGAGAGTTAAAAACACCAAGTTTCCGTCCAGCCAGAATAAAACAGGACTTGAACTCATTTCTTTCTAACTCAGACAAACCCCCTGACTTGCTAAAATAAGAGACCAAAGGGTGAAGACTCAGAGCAGGCTAGTGGTGTAGCCCAGTGATGAAGCCCTGGGTGGAATTCCTGGTACCACCAGGTGGGTGGGTGTGGGGGATGGACAAGAAACGTATAGAGGGCTTCTAGGGTACCAATAGTGATCAATGCATTTCATCTTCAAACATCCCTAGGAATTTTACAGTCGAACAAACTGAGAGGGGAAGTGACTTGGTGAGGTCACACAGGTGGTAGGGGCCTAGTTACAGCTTTCTAAGGAAGAAGGGAAAAATAGCAATGGGCTTTAGAGTGCTGAACAAAAGGAGCAATCTCCACCCCCCTTGACCACAGCCTGGCTTCCTAAATGGTAGTGCTTGGCTTCCTAAACAGTAGTGAGCTGACAAGTTGTCTGAATCTTTTAAATTTTAACAATTTATTTATTTTTTTTTATGTGCATGACGTTTTGTCTGCATGTGTGTAAGTGTACCCTGGGCATTGCATGCACACAGAGGCCAGAAGAGAGTGCTGGATCCCCTGGAACTGGAGTTACTGAGGTTTGTTAACTTCCATGTGGGCACTGGGAACCAAACCAGGGTCCTCTGCAAGAGGAGCCAGTGATGTTCTACTTACCTCTCAGGGAAGATACTGTGATTAAGAAGGTGGTTTTCCCAGGGTGAGATTCATCAATTGTACTCTGGATGTACAGACCCTTCCGATTTCCCGAAATGTGGGAAACCCCACTGCATATTTGTAGTAACCGGGGACTGTGTTGATGCTCTCTCCCAAAGACTATTAAAATGGGCTAGAGAGATGACTCAGTGCTTAAGAGCAATGGCTGCTCTTGCAATTCCCAGCACCCACATGGCAGCTAACAACCATCCATAACTCTAGTTCCAGCAGATCTGATGGCTTCTTCTGACCTCCTTGGGTATAGTACGACACAGGCACACTTACATACACAAAGGCAATACACTCATACACATAAAAATTATAAAATACTTTTTTAAAGGGGGACTGGAGAGACGGCTCAGCAGTTAAGATCAACTGGCTGCTCTTGCAGAGGACCCCGGTTCAGTTCCCAGCACCCACATGTCAGGCAACAACTGTCTGTAACTCCAGTTCCAGGGGATCCGATACCCTCTTCTGACCTCCGTGGACATTGCATGACCTAGGCACACTTACGTGCATGCAGGCAAAACAACACATAAAAATTAAATAACTAAATAAAAATTTAAAAGAATATTATTTTTATTTTATGTTTATGAATATATTACCTGTATGTGTGTAAGTGCACCCATGTGGCACAATGCTTGTGGTGGTCAGAAGAAGGCGTTGAATTCTCTGGAACTGAAGTTATGGATGGTTGTTAGCCACCATGTGGGTACTGGGAACTGAATCTGGGTCCTCTGTAAGACCAGCCAGTGATCTTAACCACTGAGCCATCTTTCCAGCCCCTAAAAAGAATATTTTTACAAAGAAAAGAAAGTACATTATTCTATTTTTCTTCTTTCTTTGTCTTACAACCAGTTCTGGGGTTCAGATATAGGGTGGAGACATATCTGATGTCACCTATCCCCACAAAATAGGTATTTATAATCTATCAGTGTTCTGGAGGCAGAAAATGTATCAATCAGCTATTACTATAGGAATGCTGAGTAACAAATCACCCCCCAGACGGTATTAAAACACTATGTGTTTGGCCATGGAGTTGAAGTCCAGTGATTTAGGCTAGACCTGTTGACCAGTTCTTTAGGTCTCAGCTGGCTGTACTCAAATACTGGGAGGCACAGTGATGGGGGCAGATCTTGTCTGCTGTAGCTGGCTGTGGCTGGAGAGAGTAGGCCCTTGGATCTGCTTTAGTTATCCATGATTGCAACACAAACAGCAGCAGACAATGGCTCTTGAGTCTGAGGCTTCAAACTGTCCTGCCAGTAACTACTGCCCAACTCTGTTGGCCAAAGCAAGTCACATGTTGGAAGCCAGAGGCAAAGGGCACGGGCTGAAAAGATGGTGCAGAAGTTAAGAGCGTACCTTAGAGGACTCAGGATCAGTTCCCAGCACACATGTCTGTTGGTTAGTTCACAAGCACCTGTAACTCTAGCTCCAGGGGAGCCAGTGCCACCTTCTGTCCTCCAGAGTTACCCACACTCATGTATGCGCGTGCGCGCACACACACACACACACTCAAAAAAAGGGTGGGGCATGTCCCCCAGCACCCATGTACCTTTCCTACCCACAAAGTTGGAAAACAAAGAAGAGTTAACAATGAAGAGCATGACTACAGGGGTGAAAAATTGAGTCCATTAATGCAATCAGTTTGAATCCTAGCTGCTCACTAGATGTATAACTAAGGTAAGTGATTGAATCCCTCTGTGCCTCAGTTTCCTTTTCTGTAAAATGGGTGTAATGGAAAACTGATCACTGAAAACTCTAAGTGGGCATCTACCACCTTTGTGACCCCGCCAACTCACTTCCCCTTTCTAGCCATGTTTGTTTACCTGTAAAAGTGCTAGGGGTATTTGAAGATGAAATGAGTTGATCACTCAGTAAGCCTGGTATCTGCTTCCCAGGAAGCTCTTAATGCATATTTCTTGTTAACTGTTATTGAATGTGTGAGAATTAAATACATGATTGCATGTAGAGTCCTGGGCAAGGCAAGTGTCAGTTGTGTTCACTGTTGGCGTTACTTCTACATTGTAGAGTTCCATTGAGAACAACGTTAGCATTCTAATAATAATACAGTGACCATTTGCTAAGCTGTAGGCACTAAGTCAGGTCACAGTTCTCTAAAGTGGTCAGGGTGCATGTTATTACTATTGTGGGGTTTAAAATTTTTTTTATGTGTATGATGAATGTATTGCCTGCATATGTGTTTTTGTTTGTTTGTTTGAGACACAGTCTCCCTGTCTCCCCAGTTCCCAGCTGGCCTGGAACTCTGCTATGCAGACCAGGCTGGCCTCGAACTCACAGAGATCTGTCTACCTCTCCCTCCCAAGTGCTAGGATTAAAGGCATGTACCACTCCTGGCTCCACCTTGTTTTTTTTTTATTTTATTATTTTTATTTTTTATGTGTATGAGTGTATTGCCTCCATGTATGTAAGTGCACCTGTGTCATGCAATGTCCTTGGAAGTCAGAAGAGGGTGTTGAATTCTCCTGGAACTGGAGTTATGGACATTTGTTAACTATCATGTAGGTGCTGGGAACTGAACCCTGGTCCTCTGCAAGAGCAGCCAGTGCTCTTAACCTCTGAGCTATCTTTCTAGCCCCATCCACCTTGTTTATTAAGACAGGGCCTTGCAACCCACCTGGAGCTCATTGATTAGACTTGGCTGGCTGGCCAGTGAACCCCAGGAATCTTCCTGTTCTCCAGTGATGGGATTATAATTGTGCACCAACATGTCTGGCTTTTTGTGTGGGTTCTGGGAATGGAACTCAGGCCCTGAGTTATGCCCCCCAGTCCCTATCGTTTGATTCTTTCTGACAAAGTCTCACTATGTAGCCCAGGCTGGCCAGGAGTTCCTCACCTTTCTGCCTCAGTCTCCCAACTGTAGGATCACAGCCATTTTCTACCACTCTTGGCTTTTATTTTTTATTATTTAGTTATTTTATTCATTTTTTTTGTATTATTGTTACCTTTACCTGAAAGACAGGGAAACATAGATTGAGACAGGCATGGAGCCCTGGACGGTCAATGGGAGAAGTGGGTCCTCAGAGATCACTGTGTCCAACCCTAACCTACCTCTCCCTCACCTGCCCCCCGCCCCACCAGGCCTCACCTTCCCAGATGGCACAGGTTCCGGGGGAAGTGGACAACATGGAGGGCCCGCCTGTGTCCAACAACAACAACAACCCTGCAGCCCGCTGGGACAGTCCTGATCGGGGCTGGGAGCGGGAGCCACTCCCAGCCGCCACTGCAGCTGCCTCACTCTTTGAGTGCTCTAGGATCAAGGCCTTAGCAGGTACCAGGAGGAGGGCTGGGAGGGCAGGGGGAGTATAGGGGAGTCAGGGGGGTTGTGGGTAGCACTGGAATCTCCTAGTGTCTGAGAACCTTGATGGCCAGAGTCTTGAAGAGAGTCACTCTTTAGAATTCTTAGAGCAGTTCTGCACAGTGAGCTTGCCACAAAGATGGAGCTGTTCTGCACGTGTGGTGTCTAATGGAGCCACCACTCCTATACATGACTACCCAGCACTTAAAGTGTGGCCAGGGCTACTTGAGGGACTGTTTTAAATTTTATTCAATTCTAATTCATTTGAATTGTGTGGGGTCTCTCCCTCCCCTCGTGGGTCGTTGGCCACTGGTCCATGAGGACAAAGGGAGCAGAAGAGACCAACGGGGTCAGGACGGCCAGTGAGCACTGACGGAAGAAAGCCCTTCCGGGAGGCAGATTCAGTGATACAGCTCCAGACTCAGTGAAACAGCTCCGTTTATTCAGTGGGGGTCAGGGAAAATATAGTGTGGAGGCAGCAGCCAAAGCTTCAGCTGATAGGTGCTCATAGTGTGCTTTATTTACATGTGGTAGGGGGATCCTATCATCTGGCTATAGGGCAATGCCTACACTTTCCAGGTAAGTCAGGCAGAGAGCAGGAGGCCCCTGCTGAGAAAGGGAGTCCTTCCATATAGCCCCTTAGAGCTATCCGGACATGGAAGACTATAACCCTAGCAGCAGGGTCCCCCAACAAAATTGAAATAGCAAGATGAGACTTAAAAGCTTCAGTGGGGGTAGCTGCACATGGAACTTTCAAAACACACGATGGTTCTGTTTCATACTGTTAGGAAAAATTTGTTTAAAATTTATCTTTATTTTATACGTATTGCTGCATGTATGTAAGTGCACCCGTGATGCCTGCAGAAGCCAGAAGAGGGCATCAGATGCCCTGAAACTGGAGTTTTGGGCAATTGTAGCTGCCATATGGTGCTGGGGACTGAATCTGGGTCCTCTGCAAGAGCATCCAGTGTTCTTAACTGTTGGGCCATCTCTCCAGCCATGTTGTGTCTTTTTGAGGGAATCTCACATTGTAGCCCAGGAATTCTCGACATTCCTTCTGCCTCAGCTTCCTGAGTGCTGGGATATGTCCTGAGGTATAAAACAGTTGGATTTTAGGACTTTGTTTCTACTGTGTACATTTTCATTACATTTGCTGTGTGTATGTATGGTGTGTGTGTGTGTGTGCTACAGCATGCGTGTAGAGGTCAGAGGACAACTTTTGGGACTCAGTTCTCTCCTACCATGTGGATCCTGGGGATCGAGCTCAGGTTGTCAGGCTTGGCAGCAAGTACCTTTACCTGACCTGTTGAACTATCTCTCTGGACCAGGACCTTCTTTATGTGTTTTATTTTAAATTAAATTAAGTTAAATTTTTTTATACAATGATTTTTTTTATTTATTATTTTTGTTTTATGTGTATGTGTGTATTGCCTGCATGTAGGTAAGTGCACCCGTGTTGTGCAATGCCCATGGAGGTCAGAAGAGGCTGTTGGATCCCCTGGAACTGGAGTTAAGAGAGTTAGCTGCCATGTGGGTGCTGGGATTTGAACCCTGGTCTTCTGCAAGAACAGTCAGTGTTCTTAACCGCTGAGCCATCTCTCTAGCACCTAATTTAATTTTTTTGGTGATTTTGAGACAGGGTCTCTCTGTAACCCTAATTGGCCTGGAACTCACTATGTAGACCAGGCTGGCCTTGAACTCACAGAGATCTGCCTGACTCTGCCTCCTGAGTGCTGGAATTAAAGGTGTGCACCACTATGCCTGGCTCTATTTTTTTATTTTAAAGTTTTATTCTTA